TTTTATTAAATATTATAGGTAGAAAATGATATTATAGGTTGTATAAATGTGTCGATACTTGAAGTATTGAGTGTTCTCATTCATTTGAAAGAAATAGGGATTAAGGTTTTTGGGTTTGGTTTGGGGATTTCAAATTGAAGCCAAGAAGGATTTGAGACTGATTATATAATATTATAGGTAGAAAATAAATATGGATACTTGTATATAATATTATAGGTAGAAAATGATATTTTAGGTTGTATAAATGTGCTGACACATTTTGTAGTGGCCATTCAAATTCTTTTGAAGAAAACTGTTTTACCACAAGAGTAGTTATCTATATTTGTATATTGAATAAAGTGTATGTAACAAGTATTTGATTTAATTTGCGTAAACTAATATATGGATGAAAAATGGAGTCAATGGGTGTAAATATTGTTGGTGGCGCAGATGACTTTAAAATTGAGGTCGAGACTCGAAAGCAACCAAAGGGTGTATGTCTTTTTGAAATGATAATTGGATTAAAGTATTTAAGAACTTTAAATTGATGACAAATTTTAAATGTTGACAGTATGACCGAATGCAAAAGGATGAAGAAAGATGGCGAACACATCGGTTCGGTATGTAAATTGAAATTGACATTGAGAATTATTTAGCGTTAATGTATTGATTAAAAAACATTTATGCTTAATATTATGTGAGAAATGATGTGTTGGAGAAATGGAATTCGATGAGTGATGTTGAGAAGGAACCTTACATCGCACAGTCAAAGATGGATAGTGAAGAATGCAAAGAATGGAGGAAAACAAATGAAAAGAAGGTATTCATTAAACTTGTAAATACATTGATACAAAATATATAAGAACTATAACATTATATATTGTTAAAAAATGTAGGAAGTGTCGACAATGTGTATTATTAAAAGGGGGAATTCATTAATTATACACCTTAAGGAGAAGGGTCAGTTGAATGTGGTGGGAGAAATGGGATTTGGATCGTTGGTAGGAGTAAGGGATCAACCTATTCGGAGGGAATTTTGTTGATCCTCGATGGTGCAATTTGATGTCAAACAATGTATTGCTAAATATGGTGATTTTTCATTTCCTCTCGGAATCCCATGTGCTGCAGCCGTCTTGGGGGTAGGAAGTGAATGCAAAAGTGTTGTAGAAGTCTCTAAGAGTAAGGACTGGAAAGCACTTGCCTCCAAATATGGTTTAAAGCAGAAGGTGACATATGATGAACTTGAAGAGGAAATCAAAAGTGGATCTTACGAGGGGGATGAGCTGAAGGCCTGAGTTCTATTGTACCTTGTCGGGATCTTTCTTTGTCCAACGGGTTACGTCACCGAACAAGGACTATATGAAGCTCATTTGCGATGAAGGCTTGAAGGGTGAATTCAATTGGGCTGAATATGTCCATTCGAGATTGATTGAATCAATAATCACCTAAAAATGACAGCTAGAGATACCTCAAAGGGTGCATAGCAATCTTAGAGGTAAATGAGTTGAAGAACATATTTGTTTTTTTTATATAAAATGATAATATAGTTATTATATAAAATTATAAATTTTATTATAAATGCATGTTGCACTGTTCGATTTTTGGTCGGGCTGTGAGGCAGTGCCGGTTTATGAAAGAACCGGAGTGACATGCATTCGTGCATGGAGGAAGGAAGAGGTGGTTAGAGTGATGGCGAAGTTGAAATTGGATAGACCAAGGAAGCAAGAAAGAGTAATAAATTTAATTAAATAATATTAAGAATATAATTGTTGGGATTTTCGGAAGCTCGAATCGACAACCGGAACGGTTTGTAAAGAGGGATCGGAACGATTTTATGTTTAGGGAGTAAGGAGATTGAAAGATAGAGAATTGCACAGCAATTTATAGTGGTTCGACTTTCTCAACCAAAGTCTACGTCCACTACCTTAGTTCCTCACCAAGGATTTTCCAACAAATTCACTAATTTGTTTTTTCTTTTGAAGACAAAAAGATAACCTTACAACTCCCTAGTTTTTTGGGCTAAACTAGAACCTTTCCCTAGCTTTTACACGGGATAAGCTAGAACATTTCCCCTTTATAAAAGGATAAAATAAGTAAACAAGAAAACCTCTCTAAGGTAGGTGTTTACAAGATTGAGCTCACAAGAACAAAATATTTACAAGAGAAAGATGAAATAAGAATGAAAAACTCTTCTCTTGTGTTTAATTGCTTGGATAGTTGTTCTCTTTCTTCTTCAAGTGTCCTTAGCTTGTATTTATAGCTTGGAATGTGTTTGATGTTGTATATAGCCGTTGGGGATATTTTGGAGCCGTTTGGGGTTGATTTTTCTACTAAAAAAGACTGCCCATAACATGGTGCATCGATGCATCGATACACATCAGGATGCACTAAGTGCATTCGAAATAGAGTGCATGGATGCACTGCAGGGGTGCATGGATGCACTTTGACACCCTTTATCATTTTTGCTCAAATCCGAATTTAATGGACTTTGAATTATTTTTGAAACCTTTTTAAAACTTTGAATAAATTCAATTCAAGTCCAAAAACATTTTGCCTTAAATTTGTTATATCGAAACATAAGTCAACAATAATCAATGTCTTAATATTGTAATTTAATTTTGAAGGTTATTGGCAAGGATGTAGTGGAGGCAGAGGAGAAGGAAGAAGAGATGGTTGTATTGGGGGATGACATTGAGGGAAAACAGAGTAAATTTGACATTTTGATGTCTGAATTGGCTGATATCAAAAAAATCCAATTTGATATCATGCAAAGACAATCAAGAGTCGAAGAGAAACTTGAGAGAGTTGAAGAGACACTTGAGAGACATAAGGGGGAATTTGAAGGAAAAATATATGGAGTGGTGAAAGAAGTTGAGGTGTTTAAGGGTGAAGTGGTGAAAGAAGTTGAGGTGTTGAGGGGTGAGCTTAAGATGGTGAGGGGTGAAAAAATTGATGGAGTGGTGAAAGAGATTGTGGAATTGAGGAGTGAACTTACGGGGGTGAAGGGGGTGGTTGATGAATACTTTGATGAAGGGGGAAAATTGAAGGGTGAAATAAAAGAGATGAAGAGCTATGTAGAGCAAAAATACGATAAACTGAAAAATATGAAGAAGAAAAGAGGGAGGAAGAAGAAAAGAGGGATGAAGAAGAAAAGATGGAGGAAATGAGGAGGAAGGGTGTCGATGTGATATATACACCGGAGAGTGTTATAGATGCAGATTTGGATTCGGAATGTCATGCACCCCAGAAGAAGAAACAGAAGGTAAGTTGAATAAAAGAAAACTTAATTTGATCTTTATCATGTTGTTGTGACAAAATTTTTTATGTAAAATTGTAGGTTGAAAAAGCGGATATTCCAAGCAGAATTGATAACATCGAAGCTACAATTTGTGATTATTTATGAAATAGTGGGTTAGAATCGGGGTAAGTGAAATATATTGCTTTGTGAGTGATATTTAAATATTTCATGACAAGATATTACAGATATTTTGTAATCTCAATGGGAAATCAATTCACTAATATATCTGACGTTGCAACGTTGAAGCCTACGAAATGGGTTGGTGGTGTAGTAAGTAGAAAGTACAAAATGTTAAAACCTATTGAATATGTTCTTATTGTGTAATTAATTTTGTTAGGTTATTGATTTGCTCGCCTGGACAGTATGCTATGATTCGAAAAAGTCACTCCAGAGGATTGGCTACCTTCCATACCACTTAGCGGTGAGTTAAATTAATAAATGTTGAAAAGTAGTGTTTTAGACGGTATATTAATAATGATTGTCGCGTAAGTGCAGCAACAGGTATTGGATACTAACATCAAAGTAAGTGTTGAGAGTATTGCTACCTTTTGGGATATTGGGTAACTATGTGAAATTCACTGACTGTGAAAAGGTAAGACACCATACGAATTACAAATGATGCTTTCGGATATAGAATGTTGAATTTTGTCAAATTGGGTGTGAAATTTGTTGCAGATCATGATCATAATAAACTACCATAATTCACATTGGTATATGTTGGTGTTGGATATGGTAGATCGTGTTGCAACATTATATGATAGTTTGTTTACATCTGAAGTAGCTAAACAGAGAGTGAATGATGCTAAGAGATTGGTATGTATGAAAAGACATTATGTAAATTATAATGAATCATGTGCGAGACTGAATGGTCATTCCATTTCGTCTTCAGAAAAAATCAATTGATGTAGGTTGTGTGCTTGTATTCAAATTGAGCTTGACTTGAGGACATGTAGTTTGTCATGTCTCTCACTGCTGCAGTACCAACATCGCCTAATTTTCTTCTCGATCTTGTTCTTCGGTACTTCTTTTCGCTTGCGTTGTTTTCGTTGAGGGTCGCGAACGTTGTTTACTATACTGCTCTGATTTACTGAATCATTCAAACCAAACGAGTTTTCAAATTCTTGTATTAGCCTTTTCGTCTCATCTCTTGCGGTTTTGAAAGACGCATCTGTTTTTGATGCAATGTAGCATAACCTACTTGGCGTTGAACGTAGAGCAGCGAACCTTGCCATTTGTATCACTTCTTGAGGCACATTCAAGTCAACATAACTGGGTGCAGAAGCCTTCATATCCTTAGTCCACCTACTTTGAATCAAAGTCACAGGCAAATATATGTAATCCAAGTTCTTCAAAATATGAAGTTGATGGCGACACGGAAGTCCAACGGTCTCGAATTTTTTGTAGGAATAAATTAGGGTTTTCGTACGAGAATCAAAAATAATTTCAAATGTTATATTTTTTCTTTGTACTTTGTCAAAATATAATGTTGACATTCATCTGATAAGGACTGAATCTCTTCCTCAATCCGGTACAATGTCTCCCGTTGAAGTTCATCTTGGAACGCACGAAAAGATTCGCAGGTAAAAATCTCAGCGGCATGGCTTTCAAGTTCGACTAGTTTTGTGATCTGGAAGGGCTTCGTCTGGGAATTTAAGTAATCCGCTTTCAACTCGTTCATACGCATTCTACTAATTCCATCTTCAATTGCACAAACAACATCTAAATATGTCTTCTTGTGTTTCAGTGTAATCGCTAGTGAAGCATTTATAAACTCGCACCTTTGTGTTGAGCGAATATTGGCAAATAAATTACTGGTTAGATATGCTTGTGCCCATACGTGTCGAGTATTTCCCTTCTCAATCACCCATGGATGTTTTTCAACGTTGAATTCTGAAACAACCGAACGCCATTGAATATCGAATTCATCGGTTGTCCACCAGGAAGCCATGCATTTTGAGAATGTTTCTGTAAAGTTTGGGTCACCAATGTTAGCCTGTGCATTGCGAGAAAGATGCCAAGAACATAATATGTGTTTAGCAAAAGGGATAACAGATTTGATAGCCCTCTGCATTACCTTATCCCCATCGGTGACAACTGAAATAGGTGATTTATTCATCATGGCTTCTAAAAAATTCTGTAGCACCCACTCGAAAGATTGGGACGTCTCGTCAGCGATTATGGCAGTGGCAAACACAATTGTGTTATGGTGATGATTGACACCGACAATAGGCATAATTGGTCGACCATACAAATTATTTTTGTACGTTGTGTCGAACGCAGTTACATCACCAAAGCATGTGTAATCTAATCTCGATGTAGAATCCGACCAAATAAGATTATGCAATGCCCCTGATTCGTCTACCGAGTATGTCATAAAAACCCGTGATCATCATGTTTCTTATAATCAAAGTAAGCAATAAACGCATTCACACCCCCATCGATGATTTCCTTTGCTTTACCTCTTTGAAGTGCATTGTAGAGGTCTTTATGTGTAAATTTAACATTATGATAGCCCTCTGCCTATTGCGTTAAATAGTTCATTACTTGTGACGTGCCAACACCAACCTCTTTCAATGATGTTGCCTCATCGATATCAGCTTTACTTACAACTCTATTAGAACGCATAAATGGTGGCATAGCAGGTATGCACAACGCATGATTATGTTTCTGATAATACTTACTTATAACCTAGTGATCGTTTATATTTGTTGATGTAACTACGACTCTAGCCTTGCATCCTGTTCTTGTGACTGGCGTATGAACACGTTGATGATCAACAGTATTGCCTTTTGATACTTGAAACCCTTCTTTGGAACAACAAAATTCTTGTGTCTTCAGATTCTCTTCCACGTCAAGCCGTGTTGTTCCCTTACGTGCACTAAACCCATGTTCACATGCGAATCCCTTATAAAAGTACCAAGCTTGATCACGTGAAGAGAAGAGCTGACCAACCAATCTGTCAGATTCATCAATATTATGTACTTCATTGCATTCCTCGGTTGGTTTAACATTGTCTGCATCAGTATGATCCATGACAAAAATTTTGTTGTGCAAGTTCAGTGGTCCCGGAGTTGATGGAGATGTAAGTAAAGATTCATTCATTCAACATGTTTCAGTCGGGAGTCGTGCTTTCAATAGGATGTGGTATTGGTAGTGGTAGTTGAAGGGTGGGTACAACATTAAATTCACGTGACATATTTAGGTGTGTACAATAACTACCTAAATATGTGTCGATACATTTTCTAAAAGTATCGACCCAAAAAACATCGAAACCAATAATTATAATGTAATAGGTAAATTAACAATGTAATCGGTATAAATATACCGATTAATTAGAAAACATGTCAACATAATGTATCGACACTTGTGTAATTTGTGTCGATACTTATCGTCCAGAATGAATGCCCAAACGAGGTGCACGCATAAAGTGTCGATACAATTATTAAAAGTATCGATCCTAATAAAATCGAAACAGATAATTATAATGTAATAAGTAAATTTACAATGTAACCGGTATAAATATACTGATTTTATGTTAAAATAGGGGAACATAATGTATTGACACGTTTTATATTTGTGTCGATACTTTTTGTCCAAAATGAATGCCAAAAGGGTTGCACGCATAAAGTGTCGATACATGTTTAAAAAGTATCGATCTTAAAAATATCGAAATCGATAATTATAATGTAATATGTAAATTTACAATGTAACTGATATAAATATACCGGTTTTATGAGAAAATATGTCATCATAAAGTATCGACACTTGTTAAATTTGTGTCGATACATTTTGTCCATAATGAATGTCAAACGGGTACACGCATAAAGTGTCGATACATTTATTAAAATTATCGATCCCAAAAATATCTAAACCAATAATTACAATGTGATAGGTAAATTTACAATGTACCCGATAGAAATATATCGGTTTTATGAAAAAATATGTCTAAATAATGTATCGATACTCTTTAAGTTTATGGTGATACTTGTTTCCAGAATGAATGCCCAACGAGGTGCACGCATAAAGTGTCGATACATTTAAAATTGTATCGATCCAAAAAATATCGAAACCGATAATTATAATGTAATAGGTAAATTTGCAATGTTACCGGCATAAATATACCGATTTACTTATAAAATAGGTCAATATAAACGCTACCTATTACATTATATAAGCGCTACATAATATGTTATTGTACTTGATAATATTTCCGGCTAAATGCCTATTTTATTATATAAGCGCTACCTATTACATTATATAAGCGCTACCTAATATATTATTGTACTTGATAATATTTCCGGTTTAATGATATAACATAACTTATTTAAATTTTAACCGATCACTTATTTAATCGATCACGACATTTTTTAGTTTTTTTTTTAAGCGGCACAGCAGAAGTTCCCCCTTTCATTTGATATGTATCGTCTCCATTATTTTTCAGTTAAAACCAAAAGACACTGAAAAGTTCTGTTGTATGTTCCAACTTCCAAGGAAAGGTTGAGGGGTTTAAAGATATTTACTCTCTTGCACGGCTTGCTCTCCATATCCACCATGATTATGGTTATGGATTACCCAAACGTATCAAGAGTCTGACAAAATCAACACAAACAAGGCAAGTATAGCTAAGACACCACAAATATGGGTATCTCTTTGCCTTTCACTCTCGACTCTTTTTGTTAGATATGTTTTCTACACGAGTTCAAGGAGAAGAAAGAAAGTACTAAAGCTAGCACCAGAAGTATTTGTTCTGTCGTTTACTCTTGAACAAACCTTCTACACCATGAGTTCTGGTCCTCGTAGAGACTATTATCAGCCCATGTTTGCATCCAAAACTCCCCATTTTTTCAAAATAATTCTTCAGGAAGCTATTGGGCATGGGATGCTTGTAAGTATTTCTTCTTCTTTTTCCCCGTTTCATGATATTTCTGCTTTGTAATCAGATTCATTCGTGAAAACTTCCATTAACTGATCATCAGGGGATTCCTAGAAAATTTGTGAGAAAATATGGAAACCAACTGTCAAGCCCTGTTAAGCTTGAGGTCCCAAGTGGTGCAATATGGCAGGTGGAACTTACAAAGAATGATGATAGGGTGTGGTTCCAAAAGGGCTGGCGAGAATTTGCAGAGCATTACTCACTGGAATTCGGGTCCTTTTTGGTTTTCGGATATCAAGGGAATGATCATTTCCATGTATTAATTTTCGATAGAAGTGCTTCAGAGATCGAATATGCCTGTAGGAAAAACAAAGAAAAACCAGACTTGCTATGTCAACTACCACAAAAGAAAATGAGAACTGGTTGTTCATCATGTGAAATTGGAATTGATTTTAAGTTATTGGATTCATCTTTGCACATTAACCTTGATGCCCCCAGCTTTGAAGCCGGGAATCTCAAGAAAAATGAGAACTCACATAGTTTTAAGGCCACTGTTGATGGTATACATGGATTCTTTATTTCAATTTTAGCGGTGGTTATGTTCGTGCCATTTTCTTTTGTTTTCTGCCTTTTGATAGTTGTTTACTATGATTTCGAGTCCATCTACGACAGGAGTTGGAGGAATTTCAGCTTGTGGAAATCTGAAAACGGAACTTTTATGCTGTTCCCAAAGGTTGACAGACACTGAAAAGGCTCGTGCAAGTCAGATAGCTAATGCCTTCAAAAGTACTGAAAATCCAGTTTTCATGGTGGTCTTGCAACCATCATCTGTTAGTAATGGTTATCAAATGGTAACGTGTAAAACGAGAATCTGTATAATCTCGAATGCATCATTTTGCTGACCCGAAATTACGAATTGTTTACTCTTTGTTTAGACTGAAAAAAGTTTTATATTCTGGTTTATTTTCCCTTCTTGAATTCCAGGCTATACCATTGGACTTTGCTAGGGAATTTTTGATAAAGCACAAGTGTAATCTGACCTTATGCAATTCCGCTGGGAAAACTTGGCCTGTGAGGTACTACGTGAATGCAGGAAATAGAAAACGGCGGGCACAACTGTATGGTGGCTGGCAGGCATTTGTGCAAGAAAATCATCTTTGTGTCGGTGACATTTGTGTTTTTGAGGTAATTAAGCTCCATCAAATATTACTTAGAGTGAACATCTACCCGGTTGTTGAAAATGCAAGCAAGGCCTGCAGGTCACAGGGTGAGTAGCATCTGTGATACAGGTTATTGGTATAATGATCGGTTTGTTTATATGACAACCTATAGAGATCCCTTGTTTCTTCTTGTCATTTCATTTTGTTGCAGCTCATAAGAGCAAAGTCAGTCCAGTTAGAACCTGCATGGTCAGTGATACTGAACCTGATTGTCAACAAACTCGATGTTCCTCCATCTCCCAAGAATTTAAAGGCTTGAATCTAGATGAACAGGAGAATAGCATGGATTGCATATATTCGACTAAAGAATTTTGGGGTCATAATCTTTTTCTTCAAATGTTTTTTTAGTTTAAGCAATGGTATGTTTCCAAAGTTAGTTGTCCTAAAAGTTCCGATTTTAACAGATGAAGTCGAATATTCTGCAAAACATGACAATGGAGGAATATCAGGTGCCTGGGGATGTCTGAAACCTGACCTTATGGACAAAATCCAGATGCAACCATCGACTCCAACGGAGAAGCAAAGAGCGGCTGATATTGCAAGTTGGTCTTCATCAAGATTACGTGAGTACAGAAGTTAAATATAATCTTCGATAAGAGTGCTCCATAGATCAATCCATGTACTAGCACTAGCAGTGAAGAG